TGGTCCTTGCTCAGCGGAGAGTCTGCTGGAGAGTCTCTATCTCCCTCTTCTTCTGCCCCCCACTCAAATGAATAAATAAATCTTAAAAATAATAATAATGGACTAGAGGTTAAATGGAGTCCATCCAGATAATTCAAAGTAATCCCTCGCGTCCTTAACCTTCACCATGTTTGCAAAGTGGGAAGTAGAGTGTTCAGAGGTTCTAGGCGTTAGAATGTAGACTTCGGAGGAGCCATGATTCTGCTTTCTCCAGGTGGATGTGGGGTTACGGGAGAGGGTAGAACCCAAGTTTCTGGTTCCAACAACCAAGTAGAGTGCAGATTTAGGGGAAGAAGATAAGTTTGGTTTTGAACATGCTGACTTTAAGGTGCCTCTGGGAAATAAAAGGGGTAACATGTAGTAAGTAGTTGGATGTATTAGCCAAAAGGGAGAGGAGAAATCAAGGCAGGAGATAGAGATTAGGGAGCTGCTGACACACAGTGAGCCCTCGGGGAATGTGTAGAATGGGAAGAGAACAGAATGCTGGAGCCAGTGATATTCTGGGTACACCAGAGAGTGAAGCACTCACGGAAGGAACTCAAGAATAGCCTGTGGGGTCTCAGTTTCTTTGTGACTCAGTTCTTCCTTTCTCTGCTACCTAGCTATTTTCTCTGCATTCCCTGGTTTTCTGCCTGCTTGTAGTTTCTGCTTCCTGAAACTTAAGCTTGCACACTGTGCTCTTTGGCCTCTCCCATCTGCCTTGTCATCATGGATCTCTTAGCTTCAGCTCTCATTACTAAACTCCTTCATTCTTTTGTTTGGTGTGTGTGTGTGTGTGTGTTTAGTTCAAGGTGGGGGAAGCAACTAAAGAGAATCAGATTGACCCAGATTATCATTTTACATCATGCCGTGGCATACACCAACAGTTTAAATTAGGATTGGCTATCCAGAGGCCAGGTGCCCATGTCAGTCAGATGCTTCTCCATTTCAGGAACTACAAAGGATTCAGTTCAGCTGTTCAGAAAATCAGTTTATTAGGCTTTGAGGGAAGAAGAGAAGGTTAACTTGATCTCCATTATATTTACTGGATCCAGGTCAAAAATAGGCATATAATAGGTACAGGACTCTCTTTAACATTGCCCCATTGAGCCTAGCCTCATGTAGCTCTAATGGTGTCTGTGCGCAACAGATCATCTTAATAGAAATTGAATTTGGGGTCCAAGTTACAGGAATAAAATCCAGGCAGGCAAAACTCTGATCAAGTACAGGTTTCCCCTGCTACCCAAAAGTAGAGTATTCTTATGAAACCTTTCTTGAGCCAGAATAATGTAAAGCAAAGAAGCAATTGCCATTGATTTATAGAAACATTTTTTAGCATTCCCAGCCCCAAAAGATAACCTCTTTTAGGTTTTTCTAATACCTTAGGACACATATTGCTAACAGATGCACAAAATAAATCAAGATAAAGTAGAAATGCTCACAGACACAATTCAAGGCTATGGCAGCTTGATGCTGAGAAGTTGAGTGTAGTTCCCAGGGAGGGAGGTTGGTGGGGCCTCTTTTTCTGCTTGGGCTTTGCACTGCCCCAGTAATGGCTTGCTGCAAAACATTGAACACTATTTTCGCTTTTTGCCTTTTTCTTGTAAAACCAAAATATATGTTTATAAACATTATCTAAATTAGAGCTGGTTATTTAGATTCACAGCCCTTCCAGCCACTCACCATTCATATATTCTGCAGGCTCTTGGCATCCATACATAAATGAGTGATGCCTGCTTGTCTCTGAATCATAGCTATGCACTGACTCTCCCATCACACTGAACATGAAGCATCTCATCTTGTTTTGGAGAGAGACTCTCAGGGCAGAGTTGCCCATCTTGCATCTGTAGTGTTGACAGCCAACAAGGTTTCATCGTTTTTATTTGGTGCTCTTCCTGGATGGCGAGAGAACTGGAATTTATATTGCCAGTGGAAACAAAGTACCATAAAGCCTTCAAATTCCTTTTAGTTTTCATTGCACACAGATAATAATCTTTCACAAGATCTCTGTTTACTGAACCTAAGTATGATGGATCAACTCCAAGAAAAACCGGGCACCTACCTACAAGGTCAAATAAGCTTCTCTGAAACCAACTTCGTATGATGCCAAGCTTCAAAGAAGATGTTTCCTTGTGTGAGGTTCATGTGAGGCCAGTGGGGGTTGGTGATCCCTTGCTCCCTCCTCCATGCCCTGCTGCAGAGTTTTAGGCCAGCTCATAAACCATCACTCTGGCCTGTAGTTCCTGCTGATAACCACACTGAAAACGGGAAAGTGCAGTGTTCTCTACACAAGAGTGGACACTTGCCATCCATTTCTCCAGTGGACCCTTGCTGGGTCATTGTTTAATTGTAGCAGAGGGATGAACTTTCATGCTCAGATGGCCAGTGTTGAGCCTACTAGGGTTGTTTTAATCAAGTCTGTTTATTTTGTCTACAGATGACTTCTTGGTCATGGTTAACTGCTTTAGGGGTGAATTAAGTCTATTAGATAGTAAATTGCTTTGAGCAGCTCTTCTCTCTGGAACTGACCTCAGTGAGAACAGAATGAGCGGAAAATGTTAGAAAAGCATGGGAAGTTCAATTTTTGGAAAGAGCTCTAGGAAATGATGAAGGATAATCTCCCTGAGAGATGCCACACTGAGGCCTACAGCTGGGGCCTCAAATAGCTGGAGCCAGTAATAACAGATCAGCCAAATTAACACTGAAGCCAAAGTTATGTGATGGTACTTTTATTATTTAAAAAAATGCAAAGGAAAGATGAAGGCAAATATTATTTAATAAAATGAATGAGATAGAGGCAGTCTCCAAAATAATCGAAGGGCAACCTTAAGGTGCTTTTTCTTTCTAGCTGGGCACACAGAGAATTTTCATTTGGGTCTTTGAATCAGAAGATCCGAAGGATAATTAAGTTCTTAATGCAGAACACAGAAATCATATACTTCTCTCATCACTGTTTTTCCCTCCTGCTCTCTCTCCAGATCTGAAAGAATCATGTAGTCTAGCCTCAGAAAATTACTCATGTTCTTTGAACAGCCAAACTTTTTTACACTTCTGTGATGTGGTACATGTTGTTTTCTGAGCCTGTTGTTGCTTCCGTTTCCTTCTCTGTCTTGAAAAATCCATCCTAATCTTCAGGGGTCAGCTCAAGTTCATCTTCTTTATAAAGTCTTCTGGGACTCACCAGATTGGGCAAGTTGTTCCTTAATTGTGCTCCCACATATCTTCTTGTGTATATTTCTGTATCACTTACCAACTTATGTTCTTATCATGTAATAGGATAATACTCTGAAATATTGACTTGTTTAGGATTAATTGCATTATACCAATGGCTTAAAAAGGATGAAAGTTTACCTCTTTCTCCTATTAAGGAAGACTAAGGGGAAACAGTCTAGAGCTGGTATGGGAGCTTTGCAGTGTCATCATGAATCCAGTTTCCTATCGGTCTTCTTTGCCATACTCAGCTTATAGCTCTCATTTTCAAGTTTATCTCATGTTCAAAATGGCTGCTCAAGCTCCAGCCATCACATTCTTATTCCAGGAGGGAGCAGAGAGGGGAAGAAGGAAGATGGCATGTCTCCCCTCTTGTATGAAGGCTCCTGGAAACACCACTGAACGATTTTAGATACATATTGGCCAGAACTCAGTCAAACGGACACATCTAGCTGCAAGAAACTCTGGAAAAAGTTGTTTTTATATGGCAGCACTGTTAGTGAATAAAAGTTGTACTCAAAGAAAGAGAAGAGAATGAGTATTGAGAGGCAAATTACAATCACATTATCTGATACATTTTAAAATTTGTCATCCTTGCTGCTTCCCATTCTTCTACCTATTGAAGCTAAGCAATCTGTGGGTTTAGGAAGCAGTTAGAACCCAGGTGAAAACAAAGATAACACATGATGTGTTTAAGATTACACTCATAACTCAAATATACAGAAATGTAGCTTTATTTGCTGAAATTCATTTGCCTAGGAACCCTTACTTCCATTTATGGCTAGGAAAAAAGCTTTTACCAATTAAAAGTAATACCAGTTCTGTTTTTAAATGTACTCTCTTTGGGTAAATATTCAGTCAAATGCAGGACCTTTACCTTCCCCTTAGTCTACCTTTTCACCAGGAAGTGGTCTGGTTACAAGAGTTTTCCTGCAGCTCACTAGTTCTCTTGGACCTCCAGTACTTAGCTATGTTAGATGTCTGTCACCCTCTCTACCCAGGGACCCCTCTCTACCCTGGAACATTGTCTTAGGTGTTTTGCTTTCTCCAGTGCCTGTTGCAGAAGTTGACATGCAGGAAATATTAAAAATTTGACTGAGGAATTTATGTGTACTTTTTTTTAAGGGTTTATTTATTTATTCATGAGAGACAGAGAGAGAGAGAGAGAGGCAGAGACACAGGCAGAGGGAGAAGCAGGCTGCATGCAGGGAGCCTGATGTGGGACTTGATCCCGGGACTCCAGGATCACGCCCTGGGCTGAAGGCAGACACTCAACCACTGAGCCACACAGGCGTCCCTATGAGTGTACTTTAAATGCATCACATAATTAATTCACATGGTAGCATAATGATCTGAAAATTCTTATAAAATTTCTCTAAAGTCCCTAGCACTAGGTTTATAGCTTTCTTTCTTGTGGAATTAATAATACTCAGCTCTCAGTTCTAGTGGTTCTATGCTTGCCTCACCCCTCATTAGTGTCTGCTCCTTGAGGAATATTCCTGATCTCTGTAACTCTTATAGGTCCTACGGAAAACCGTGGACAGAGTAGGCCTTTAATCAATGAGAATGAAGGACTAAATGAATAGGGGCTGGCACCTTGTAATTTACCACTAATGAATGACTCCCACCCGGGAAGAAACAGAATGGATTTTATCAGAGCTATTTAGAACAATATCAGCGAGGACAAGTTGATATTTTGCCTTTAACTAAACACTTTTTTTTTAATACTTTTTTTTTTTTTTGGTAAGAAAAAAATTGCTTTTGTTTTTCAGAAATCCTCCACCTACTTTACTCCATCCAGAAGAATGGAGTGAGGAATTCAACCACTTTATTTCACGGTGAGTATTTCTTCCACTAAAAATTGCTTATCCAGCAGGGCCTTGAATAGTGATTGGAAATCCAAGCTATGGGATTTACTTGGTGCTAGAAGTTGTTATGCCTTTTAGCATGTTATGACACAGAATTTGTTCTAGTAAATGATAGAAGAGGCCTCTGCAGGATTTGAAAAATAAGGAGTTCTATTTGACTTTTGACTGTAATCAGTCCTCTTGGTCATTTGGGTCACATTTATCTGAGAATCTATTCACATTTATCAAATCTACTTGTCCTGGGGCAATTATTGCCAGTGATCTTTTTAATTTGGGAGGAGACTGAATGTCTGAAACGAGAGCCCACACTAGGCCCTGGGAAGAGACAGAGTGTAGCAGCCTTTCACAGGGGTCTTATAGCTTAGAAGTTGGGCTTTGCTCTAGGATCTTTGGGGTCGGAACACATCTCCAGTTCCCAAGATGGTTGAGGGGCAGAGTAGGATCTCAGGCCTGAGGCACCAAGGTGAACAGCCCCAGCCAGGGCTCAAGGCAGGGAGAACAAGATGAAAACCCAAGTGATGGGTGGTATATCCTATGGGAACTATGTTACTGGGAGCTAGGCAAGCTAGAATGGGACTAAGATAGGAGAGAGCCAACAGTAACACCAACAGGATGGTGACTCAGTTCTGGGAATATGAACTTTTGGGCTGGCCCCTAGTAGAGGACCACACTGGTCCTAGATCTGCAGAGGATCTCAGTGTGCTGGAGGGGACTGTGTGGCCCCAAACTAGGCGCCTGGTGAACTTTAGGGGGAGAAGTCCAGACCAGATGTTACAGGCCTATCCAGGCACAGGGACTGGGAAGAGATGTGTTCATTGTCTAGTAGATCAAACAAGGTGTTCAGAGGTCATGGGAGGAGAAAAGAAGTGCCTAAAATAGCCAATAAACAGTAAGTAGGGAAAGGTCAACACAAATTTTTCTAACTTATGCCTATGGGCAGACTAGCTTCTGCAAAGAGGCAGGGTAATGAAAGAAACTGGGTCCCTTGATCATCTTCCTTACTCATTCATAATACAGATCAGTAATTCCTATCTACGATTCTAGAATCCAAAGAGCTCTGAAAAATGAAAGTTTTTTGTACTTGACTCATTTAGCTACAGGCCTGGCCTTATGTGAACTGATTTGGTGGCAACACATGACCTAAACTGAAGTGAAGCTATTTATAGTCATTATTTATCTCACTCAGTGTGAATATTCATGTGAATTGCTTCAGTTATATTAATCTGTTTGATTATAGTGTGCTGCCCCAGATCCTGCTGGGGAATGTTATATAACATACAGTAAATGTACTGGTTTACTTCTCTAAAATTTGATAAAATTCTGAATTCCAAAACATACTTGACCCCAAGGATTAGTAGAAAGAGCTGTGAACCTATATTTAATTTTTGTTTCAAATGCATCACAGTTCAAGGCCCCTGAAATTGTTTGCTTATCCAGCTCCTCCTGGATTTGTTCCATATTCCCCAGGAGAGAAGAGTGGTAAATACTCCCAAGAACCCTACCAAGCAAAGCTGTATTGAAATGTGACCATAAAGTTCAAGGCCAGGGTATTTTTATCACCCCTGTAGTCCCCACTCTGGTGTTTCTACAAAGCCTGAAGAATGTAGAAGCAGTCACAACTCATGGTGGCAATGTCAGGCAATGGTGAGAGGAACAACAGAGCAAGAGGGATGATGCTCACATAGGAGCAGAGGAAGGGGTACTTCTGGGATTTGGGAGCCACAGAGGGAGGTAGAGAGAACTGGAGAACTAAAGATAGCCTGGTGACTGGGAACATACCCCAGGGAGAGAAATCCAGGGCCTATAGATTCCAGTGATTTTGTTAGCAAAGGCTGGATTTAAAGAGTTTCCTTTTCATTCCATTACTGCATATAGATTTCCTTGATTGACCTTCTTGAAGCTGTTGGCCTAGAAAAATCCATTATATATTCACAAATATGCCTTCCTATACCAGGCTCTTGTGATGCTTCTAAAATGTGACTTGACTCACCAAATTTTATCTTCTCTATATTTTTTCAAGAGTGTATTTAAACTGTGTTCTTGGTTTGAACTTGTCCTTAAACCAAACACAGTATTGCTTAGATAGATTTGGGAATAAAGGTACTTAATTGATGATGGAGTTGGGACTTTCAGGGTTAAACAGTACAGAAATCCCTCCCTACTATTGATTTTTCCTTATGGCACATACTATTATATGCCCATTTAAGTCTGCTTATGTTTTCCCTAACACTGAGAACTCTAGCTGCACTCATTCTGATTTGCTTTAGACTTAGAGGGTCTTAATACTAGAATGGAAGACAAAACACAAAAAACAATGCCTTTAGTATGCTACACTATCAGGGGCAAAGCAAAAGCATCTTGTTGAAACCACAGGAGAGGGAGAATCTGAAAAGGTTCTTATGAACCAGTGAAAGTAAATAGAAATCAAATGATTGTGTGCTTTACTAATTTAGGATATGGAAAAATGTCATCAATTTTGTTTGTTTAATGAGTTGTCCTTAAGGGTCTTATTAGTGAACCTAACCTAACCATTCTTTCCTGACTTCAGCTCCCAATCCTGCTTTCTGCATACCATCTTAGATTCCTCAAACATGAGTTCTTTTTTTACAAGATTTTTAGGAATATGGGTCTCAAGATTAGGGATTAATTATTATATTTTATATCTTTAGGTAGAAACCTGCCCACTATTCCCAGAGAATAACCTTTGGTTTCATAGATGAGCTTGCATACCCTAGACTGCCTACCAAGTGAAACTTGACTTTACTATTTCATTCTTTTTATTCAAATTTTTAATGAAATACAAACAATGACACTCACTGGGTTAGAAATGTCTATTTAAAGAGAGAGCCTTGATTTGCTTTTATACTTATCTTGCTCATATTGGGAAGAGGATAGAGGATTAAGGCCTCCGGATTATAAACTTTTCATTATTGATGGGACTGGGGTGAGGAAGAAGATTTTCTGATAATTTCAGGAAAGGTGTCTTTAGCTTGAATTATTCAGATGATTGCTTCAATTCCCATTGTAGACTGAATAACAGTGCATTGTATTAAGGTAAATAAACTGATTCTCTTTAAGGAATAAACAGGGTTAGAAATACTTTAACAGCTTTAAAACTTTTCATACCCTATCCCCATGTGACTGTTAAACCATAGCAGAGGTGATTCAGTAATTTTGATCTTTCTTGGTCCAAAGACCTGTATGACTTCTCCTTGATTGCTATGGTGGTCTAAAGGGATTGACCTGGCTCTAGCCTACTGATTATAGTTGTGTAAACTGGGGACAGGGTGTGTGTGTGTGTGTGTGTGTGTGTGAGAGAGAGAGAGAGAGAGAGAGAGAGAGAGAGAATGAGAATGTGTGTGTGAAAGAGAGAATGAATATGAATATGCATGAGGTAGGAGGGGGTGAGGGACATGCATGCTAGGAGGTGGCTTGGTGTTTTCTCAGGTTTCTAGGCTTCTTAATTTGGAGATGCTAGGAGAGTTTTAAGAAGTTTTGTAATCTTATTAGTAAACATTTTGTGGTTAAAAAAAGAAACAGCATTTTGGTTTTGAACCTTTGGTCGTTAGTGGTAATTGACTCATTTATATGTGTTAGTTATGTATTTGTCAAAGCATGACTCCTGACAGCTTAGTTATGATAAATTAAGCATGATATGCTCACATAAATTCTACATTGCTTTTTATCCGTATACTGGGACCCTGTCTGATGTTTTTTGTCACCCTTGTAATGTGTAGTTGGCTTTATAGAGATTTCATTATCAGCCCTTTCCCCTATGGCTAAAGCTATTTGCATAACAAGTTTATCTGGTTCAAGTTTCAGCCAAACTTCTGTTTTGTCAGAAGACTCCATTCAGAAGTAGCCTTTTGACAAGATAACAATAATTTTCCTTTGCCAATTTCATCTTTATCCTAAAGGATGTCACTTTTTTTTCAATTCAAACTAATTTCAGGTCTTTAGACTAAGCTATAATACTTTCCCAGTCATTGTGTAAAAGGTATCTGTGAACCATGCTTTTTCATTTTGCTTTTAAAACTTTCAGGGTTTTATTAGGAAATGGGTTTAGGACTTTGTCATCAATGGCTCTGAGCTGATTAGAGAGACAGTAAAAAAGAATTTCTCTTAGTAAGGGCAAATCTACCAGGAGAACCATGGCTTGCTCAGTTTAGGATTTAGTGATGACTTACACTATATGGTCTCTCACACACACACTGCTTTCTTGGGTTGGCTGGCTTGAGCAGCTAAGCATGCAGGTGTATCTGTTTCCCAACGTGAACTTTGTGGGTGAGCCTTGCCATTTAGTCATGTAATGAAGAGGCGGCCTCTCCTATCCCTCCAAATAACATTCAAATGGCTACAAGCAGTTGTACTGCATGTTAACAAGGTGAGATCATTGTGAGCTACAAAACTGCTAAAACTAATGGGCATTTGCATAAGTTTATTCCTTAAAAATGGAAACTCAGAGCTGGAACTTTTGCTTTTACCTAGTCCTGAATGTTTATAAAGGTAATCATTTTAGGGTGGTCGCTTCCTTCATATTGATATTGATTGTATTTCCTTCAAGGCAACCACTCTTAGCTCTTCACCATCCCCCATTTTGTTTCAAGGTGGTTTTATTCTACGTGATTTTATAATGTCCATGAACAACACACTTGGAATGATAAATATCCTAACTCCGTGATTGATTAAGCTCCACAAATATTCTTAGCTTTTTAATCTTGTTAGATTCTCAGGTGGCCATGCAAAGGGTTAATACTTCTGGAGTGGAAGGATATAATAACCTTGATTTACATTACTTCACAAATTGGTAATTTTAATTAAAATGAGCAGTGGTATCTCCAATGACAGACTCTTTCCATTTTAGATTTATTTAGCCAATGATTAGCTATTATGGCTTCTTGAATTAATTAGCATCTCTTGAGCTACCGGGAATTAGTGAATTAATAAAAAACTCATGGAGAAGCACAAAA